CAGATAGATGAAGTAATTTATGGTCAATTGTTTATGTTTTTCATTGACAGGGGAATGGTAGAAGAGTTCCACTTTTTCTGTGGACCTATCAAAGATGGGAATTGTAATTCTATTCCAAGATTAGGTTATTATGAGATGCTGCTCTGGATATCAGTCAATAACGAAGAAATGATTGGGAAACTTTGTGATTACAGTGCAGTTGATGATAATGAAGATAATCTTCAGTTAAAAGGTTTGATGCTAATCGATTATATAATTGTTTTTACGATGTGGAGATTCCTATTTCTGTCTGGTGGAATTACTTGTGGCAACTGGCCACGGATTATTCTGAATAAAAATATCTATTTGGAAAAAATATATCTTTTCTTAAAAAGTTTCTGCAGATGATAGTGTTTTTAAACATTTTATGAATTTGACTTGAGGATTTAGCGAGTAGATCGCATTTAGTTTAATGGTGATGTCCTGAGGGTTTCTGCTGCATGTGCAATTATCCTGTCCTTTTAATTTTCTTACAAAAAGTATGCATAATCTTTTCAAGTGTAGGTTTGTAACTATAGTTCTTTGTTGGGACATCTAATGGTGTAAGATTATTAAGTTGACTAAATATGTGTTATGTCAGTTGGATGTTTGTAATATGTTTATCACACTAAATGCAGATCATGGAGCAGAGAAAATCTCGAGACTCATCTTTAGTTATGCTTCTTGCATTCCAAATATAGTGGTGAGGAATCTCTCATGATGCTGCTGGTAATTACCTTGAGTCCATGTTTTCGTGGAGCACCTATGTTCCACCATGTAGTTTTCAGTATCTTGATAATGTTTCTGATGTGTTTTCTATAAATTTTTTGAAGTTGTCTATTTCGGTTGGCAAGAAATTGGCGATTAAACCATAATTTGCTTTGATTTTTTGAGCAGAATTAACAATGATACTAGTTCACTTAAGTGACAATTAGCGATCAGCAGAAATTTCTGGAAGATTTTAATTACATTTGGAGAATGAATTTTGCTTTTCCTTATTTTCTTCCTCTCTCTCTCTCTCTCTATTTTTATTCTTCCTTTTTATGGCTGGCTGTGATGGGAGGGGAGTGGGCACTAGGACATTCTTATTTATGCAATCATCTAAAGGCCTTTTGTATACTTGGAGTTAAAATTATAGATCCTTGTCAATGTCAATGAGTTTTTCATGGTACTTCTTGAAAAGGTCTTGCTGGTGAGGAATTATGATTTTTGTTTAATTGCATATATAGTTTATGAGTTTATGTGAGAATGACCAATTCAAAGCACCTATGATAGATTTTAGTTCTTATCCTCTAAAGTGCTCTGTTTCCATATATATATATACACATATATTTATGACTTGAAAGATGTGAAATTTTGACATTGATGAGGCACTGGCCCCGTGTAATCATCATGAATGTCTTGCAAGTGCTATGATGCATTGGTGCATTAATACTTGTAAGAGATTTGGATCTAGCTTAAAATGGTAATTGCTTTAGATTGCAACAAGTTTGCTGCTTGTCTATAAGAG